AGCAAAAGTACATATACGTAATATCTGCAATTAATGAGCATAAATTATGGGGAGCGTAATAGAATCTTCACGAAATAGTTACGATTGACAATTATAACGTTTCATAAATGACATTACTTGCTCATAATGGCTCTATTATGAGAGGAAAGAAACGTAGTACTTAGAAATAGCTATAAAAGGAGAGAAATAACATTTGTATAGGACACATTGATCATTATTGGAATATACTTATGTACATTGCTTTAAATTGCTTACTCAGTTACTTCTCAGTCCAATTTTCTTCTCTTGTTACGTAATTATTTCCTTATTTGATTATCAGTAACCCGAGTTCTTCTAAAATTACGCTTTGATCGAAATTCCTATTTTCTGGTTAAACAAGCGTGTGCTCCACACTCCCATGGATTATCAGCGTCCAAGGGGATCGAGATTATAAAATTGCCAAGTTCAGTGGGGTATTAAAGACCGCGTAAAGTTTAAAAGAAAACTAAGCTAGCATTTGTCCATAGATTCCCAAATTTGTTTTAAAAAATCTTATTTGGGTGAAGTTTGGTTTGAAAATGAAAATCTGTTTGGACATAATTTTTTAAAACATATTTCACTTTTTTTTGGAAAAAAATTGAAATGTGACTTATACCCATAAGTTTTAAAAACTATCAAAAATACCCAACAACTCTAAAGAAAAATCATACAAAACAAGCGAAACAAATCTAAAGAAACTTTATACAAATATTAGAAGATTTTAGCAATTACCTTCAAATTTTGTCTCTGCGGTGCCACAGACTGGCACAACAATTTTGGCGAAGGTTTTCTTCTGTTTATAGAGAAAAAGCCACGTGAGTTTAATGGGGGGAAAGTGGCTATATATGGATTAGTTGGATCATAATAACAGAAAGTGAGCTATTCTATAAAATATAAAAGTTCGGGGCAATTTTTGAAATTTTTTTAAAAATTAAACGGTAATATTTTGGGCCTCTTGAATTGGTTTTGGGATTTGGAAATTTGCCAAAATATGAATAAAATCTATAAATAAACAGGTATTTACCAAAGAAATTAGAAAAAAAAATTGGCAAATCTATGATTAAACGAGGGCTAAATAAAAATTGCCAAGTTCAGGACCCCCTGACGAAAGTTAGCTACACTTTTACTGACCAAAGATAACAGGCAACCAATGTAATTAGTGAAAGTATGTACAAATTGGCCCAATACCACCACTATTGAGAAGCAAATAATTTATAAAGAATTACAAGAAAATATACTTGACATCACACCATAACAAAAAATGGCTCATGTTTTTAAGTTTACCTGACCTAGCCCATATTGTACATATTTTGAAAGTACTAGCAAATTCAAAATCTGTGTTCTTACAATCATTGCTTCTAAAAGTTATGGAGTTAAATCTGTGTTCTAACAACCATTGCTTTCTGATCACGCCCAACTCTAGTCCTAAAAATGATAAGCGGTCGCTGCAAATATAAGCCGGTCTAACAGTCCGGAGTCGAATCCCACAAAGAAGTAAGGTTTCACTATAACTGTTCAATATCACTAGCTCGGAAGACAAGCTCGACAATTCCTAAGTTATAATATTAAGATTTTTATGTCTAACTAATTAACTAATAAATTAAAGAAGTAAATTAAAAATTAGGGATACTAAGGGTTGGAGAAAAGATTAGGAGGTCTAGAGTTATGATTTTCTCAATTGTCGGAATCTTTCCCGCTACGTCGTCTATAATTTCGCCTAAGTATTCTCTACCGATCGTGAGTACTCTGAGTGTCGTAGCTCTCTCTCTCTCTCTCTCTCTCTCTCTCTCTCTCTCGAGCAACTACTACAATTTATTAGATGTATTCTCTCGAACTCCACTAGCTAGCACTAATTCACCGCTCACTATGATCGCACCAAGGTTTCATTATCTCTAATCCTGCCTTTAAATCGTCTGTATTGATCTCTCACATATGTTAGGAGTGATGTTATTCAACAACTACCTAAATATGTACTCTCTCTCTCGAGCAGTACACACTAAATAGGCACAGTCAATTGATGACCATTCAATCAACAACAACAATCACGTAGTTGAACAAGTAGAGAAATCCAACGGCTTAATTATATAAAAATATAACAAGAATTCATCCTACAAAAGGTTTTATCAAAACTCTAGATAACAAATTAGCTATTCATAATAGTATGCAAAAATACAATACTAGAATTCATAACCAATAATGGAAATAGGAAGAAGGAAGTGAAAAACTCGTAGAAGAATTCTCCGCCTTGCTCCCAGTGTGTTCTTGCCTCCTTAGGTCGATTCCTGGTCTCCTTAGCCTCCTTAGGTCTAAATTATGTCAAAAGTCCCAAAAATAACGTTTTTCTATGTATATATACCAAGTAGGGTCGGGCCCAAATAATTATATCTTCTCCTAGGCGAAAATGACAGTTTTCCCGGACAGAACGTCCACGGCCGCGGATGCAACCGCGGATTTGGCCGCGGCTTTTACCCAGTTTCTGCCTCACATCCGCGGCTAGTGCGCGGCCGCGCACTTGTCGCGCATTTTTCACCCTTTTCTGTTTGGAATAGGAAAAAACGTAAAACATGAAAGTTGTAACCATTTGAATTAGATTTCCAACCATATATTGTGGAGATCAAATGAATTTCTGAGCGAAATGTAGAACGATCTTCTTGTTGAACTTCAGCTCCTAGTTCTTTTTTATTGAAAATCTAGAGATGAGAGCGAACACACATCATAAAGATATCACAGTCATGACATTTATAGTTTCAAGAGGAACAAGCAGAGCAGTGTAGAGCATAAATATATATGTAATGATTATAATATAGAACTTATTTATTATTGGATATTTGATATATTATGTTAAAAGTTATTATACGAGGTAGACTTTAAAAATATAATTTTATTTTCTTTAATAAAAGGCAGAATAGTTCGGAACCCCCTAAATTTGGCAGTTTTTGTTTAATTCTCCCTTAAAACTCGTGTGATCTTTACTATCCCCTAAACTTGAAAAGTTGATAGTCTTGACCGCCCTAGATGCTAATGTGGCAAAGAGCGTGAATACAATAAAAATCAAAAACTCAGCTTCCAAGCTAGGTATTTTTTAAATATAGTTGCCACATAATCAAATATAATGATTTATTTGTTCCAATTATATTTCTCGTTGTTTCTTCTTAATATACTAGCATATTTTATCTCGATTGTATTTTTGTAGATACAATGAATATATGTTTTAACTATGTATTTCTTATCTTTTTACCGATCCAAATGTATAAAAAATAAGTTGAAACTTCATTTACTAAAGCCTAATAAAAAGAAGATTTAGCAAAAATAATAAAGTTCAAAATGGCGTATTTTCTACAAAAAGAAAAAAATACTGTGTATTTTTATTTTTATTTTCATGCAATGACTATTTATTTAAACTATTCATTTTTCTTTTTCGGGTAAATTCGCAAATATTTGGCCAAAATTTTACTATTTTTAGCTAAAATATTTATTTAGCCAATACCAATGATAATTTATTCTAACTGTGTATTCCTTCTTTTTCTAACCAAATATGTAAAAGTATCTTGATTAAAATATCATTATCTTTAGCCAAATAAAAAATTATAGTCAGAATAACGTAGTTTCAAGTTTTTTCTTTTAACAGATTTTGGCACGAAAAAAATAATTTAAATAGTTCGTGGACTTAGAAAGATAAAAATATATATTTTATAGTAAAAAAATATCAAATGGACAAAAAGAATTCACATGGCAGCCTGTGTGCCACGCTCCCATGGATTATCAGCATCCAGGGGGGATCAAGATTATAAAATTGCCAAGTTCAGTAGGGTATTAGACCACGTAAAGTTTAAAAGGAAACTAAGCTAGCATTTGGCCATAGATTCCCAAATTTATTTTAAAAAATGTGATTTGGGTGAAACTTGGTTTGACGATGAAAATCTGTTTGGACATAATTTTTCAAAACATATTTCACTTTTTCTTGAAAAAAAACATGAAATGTGACTTATACCCATAAGTTTTAAAAACTATAAAAAATACCCAACATCTCTGAAGAAAAACCATACAAAACAAGCGAAACAAATCTGAAGAAAATTTATACAAATATTACAACCCGTTTGGCCAAGCTTCTAAAATCAACTTATTTTGAGAAGTGCTTTTCTCAAAAGCACTTTTAAAAAAAGTGCTTTTGGTGAGAAGTAGTTTGTGTTTGGCTAATTAATTAGAAAAACACTTTCGAGCAGTAATTAGTGTTTGGCCAAACTTTTGAAAACTGCTTCTAAGTGTATTTTTCTCAAAAGTGCTTCTCAGAAAAGTGCTTTTGGAGAGAAGCTACTTTTTTCTGCTTCTCCAAAACTGCTTCTGCTTCTCCTCAAAAGCACTTTTTTTCCCTTCAAAAGCTTGGCCAAACACCTCAAATTTTCGCCAAAAGTGCTTTTGACCAAAAAAAGCACTTTTGGCCCAAAAAAAAGCTTGGCCAAACAGGCTATTAGAAGATTTTAGCAATTACCTTCAAATTTTGTCTTTGCGGTGGATTGCCACAGATTGGCACAACAACTTTGGCGAAGGTTTTCTTATGTTTATAGAGAAGGGCAAAGCCACGTGAGTTTATGGTGGAAACGTGGGTAAATATAAATTAGTTGGGTCATAATAACAGAAAGTGAGCTTTTTTATAAAATATAAAAGTTTGGGGCAATTTTTGAAATTTTTTTAAAAATCAAACGGTAATATTTTTGACCAAAAACAACTCTTGAATTGATTTTGGGATTTGGAAATTTGCCAAAATATGAAAAAAATCTATAATAAACAGTTATTTACCAAAAAAAATTAGAAACATTTGGCGAAATCTATGATCAAACGAGGGCTAAATAAAAATTGCCAAGTTGAGGACCCCTACCCCCTACGAAAGCTACACTTGTACTGACCAAAGATAACAGGCAACCAATGTAATTAGTAGAAGTATGTACAAATTGGCCCAATACCATCACTATTGAAAAGCAAATAATTTTATGAGGAGAGTATTTTATCCGTTACTCCAACTAAACATCACCTTAATATCTTGGCTGGAGCCGCCGCATGGAGCAGTAATGAAAAAACAAATGTTCATTGAAGGCCATGTATTAAAAAATAGTTGAGGGGTCCGAGAAAAATATTTATCATCTGACATTGTCGTTTCTGCAGTCTCCTGTTTTTCATCGATATTTTCGAAGACTAAAAATAGAAAATGGTCGGACCAACAAGTCGTCCACAGTTTGTGCTGTTTGGTTCATCCATAGTACAGTTCAGCTATAGTTATCAAGGATGGGGTGCAATTCTCGCTGACCTTTATGCTCGCAAGGTTCTTTCTTTTCATCCTTTGCATTTCCAAGATTGCTACTTTTTCCTCTTTTCTGTCCAAAAAAATTTTTTGGGTTCTATATCCCTTTTTTCTACTGGGGTTTTTGTTTTTATATCGAAAGATTGTTATGTTTAAGTAGATTTTCAATTTTCATGGTAGGTCATATGTGTATGTGTTTGTGTTAATTACATGGATTTCTGTTATCAGTGCTGTGAATCTTGAGGTAGTGGGTTGTGGGTACAACTTTATTTTTGCACTTTTTATCATACTCAAATAGAATTAGTCAGAAGTGCATTCAACTGGTCTTAGAATAGATTGCTTTTTCTACAGTGCATGTTCTTTTTTATGGTCCTAATAACAGTTTCTTTAATACTAATTACTACTACAGTGGAATGTTCCAATGCATGAGTGAACATGAATTTTGGTACAAGTTAATTCTTCTTTTGTAGCTGGGAAAAAGCTTGGGATACCACAAGTTATGTCACAAGATGATGTCAAGGCTAAGGCTGCAAATACTTCTTTCTTTTCCTCTGTGTGCCTCTGAACAAATGCGGATTCAGAATTTAGATTTGATTGGTTCAACCTTAGTTCCTTCCATTGAAGATATTTGCCTTTTATAAGTATCGGTTTCTAATCCTAAACTCCAGTTGCATATATTCCCCTGCTGGGGTACCATTATCTAAGAAACTTCATATTTATTGAGATTTTACTAATTTTTCACATATATTTACACTTCATTGAAATTAGTGGGTTCAACTGATCCCAGTTTCAAAAAAAGGCGCGCCTCTGCATGTGAACAAATGTTTTGTTTTGTCAGAAATCAGAGATTTGGAGAAAAAGTGCGTGAAGACATAAGAACATTAAAATACATAGTGCCATCTCTTTTTCCGGTCTTCATACGAAGCAGAAATAACAACAGACCCAGTGTAATCCCACAAGTGGGGTCTGCGAGGGTAGTATGTACGCAGACCTTACCCTTACCTTCAAGAAGGCAGAGAGGCTGTGGAGATGATATTGTTTAGACCTTTTTTTTGACTCCGTGATGAGCTGAAAATACCATTAGATTATCAGTGACTCTTGTAGTATATGACAGAAGAGGTAGAACGGACTTAGAGGAAAGTAAGTATTGAATAGAGGGTGTGAGACTCAAATCCAGAACTGCTGTTTATTCTCTACTTCGGTACCATGAAGAATTAGAGCGATCAATGACGAATTAGATAGAAGACATGAAACATGAGAAGTTTGATTATTCCCTCAATCTTGGTTGAGAATATATATTCATTAAATAGATTATGACTTTGGTAAGCACGTGATTCTAGATAAGATACATATCTCAAGCTAGGCATAGTTGCAACTATCAAAACAAATCAAATTAAACCTAATCAATCTTAATCAGAGCAAATCATATAATAATATCAACTGTAAGAAAGAGAGTTTAAGTTTGACCAGCTCTAACAAGGGAGATAATTTTAGTGGTTTGGCATGAATTGCCCAAAAGAAATTTTCTTTCAAACATTTAATTAAGAATTCCTTACAACACGATAAGTAAAGTTTATTTGATTGGAAAATTTCTCCTTTTGTAGCAGGTTTTCCAACAGCTAAATGATGCTTCTTTTGCGTCTTGAATCCTGATTAGTAATGGGTCAATTGACAGCTTCAATTTTAAGTGCTAAATGATGTTATGGTAAAGATTTCTAGCAAGCCTTTAATTGAGTTTGGACTTAAGTTCACCTATTTTATTGCCTTAAATGATTATTTCATCTTGCATTATGCTGTTACTTTATGCTCCCGGGTGTGGTTAACTTATGAAAGCTTTTCAATGTATTGGTACTTATTCTTTCCTGTGTCAAAAAGTGAAATGATAATCGTTTAGTTTGAGTTGCACTTTTTTTGTTCTACGAATAAGTGGTGTAATTACATGTTTTATTACGGAAATCTGTTTTAAAAAGCATGTAATACTTGTAAGACTCGGTGAATGCCCTGCTTATTGTTTTTGTATGTGCTCAAGATTTTGTCCTAATTTATCTGTCAATTGTTTGTACAAAAGTCTAAAAAGGGCAGCCCAGTGCACTAAGCTCCCGCTATGTGCGGGGTCCGGGGAAGGGCCGGACCATAAGGGTCTATTGTACGCAGCCTTATCCTGCATTTTTGCAAGAGGTTGTTTCCACAGCTCGAACCCGTGACCTCCTGGTCACATGGCAACAACTTTACCAGTTACGCCAAGGCTCCCCTTCCATTTGTACAAAAGTCTGGCAACTTATAATTTAATCTTCTATGCTATTAAAGATTACACATTTTTTTTTTTTTTTGGGTTTATGCTATTGAAATAGGCAGATATAGTGCTGCGTGGATATGCCGGTTGGAATTCAAGGTGCGCTCTTCAAGTCTTGGATGAAGTGTTCCCCAAGGTAATTGGTAGATGGCCGAATCACGCTGTCCTTCCTAGTTCTTTATCCATGTTCCAGAACAATGTAGCATTTGCCAGACAATGTCAAGGAAATTATTGAATTTCATGCATACTAACGTTCTTTTGCGGGCCTCTAGGCTCATAAATCCCTCTGTCCTTATCATATTTGATGTGGTTGGCTCATGTGTTTTAAACTTAGGATGCAGCTGTGCAGCCTTCTCTGGTCATAGTTTATTTCGGAGGGAATGATTCCGTGGAGCCTCACCCAAGTGGCCTGAGTGCTCATGTTCCTCTTCTTGAATATGTAGAGAACATGAGGAAGATCGCAATTCATCTGAAGGTAATATCTCTAAAATTGAGTTGCACTTCTTTCATGATATATTCTAATGTGGTGAGGATTAACATTAGACAAGAAGATTATCCTTTTTTTTCTCCTCGCAAATGCCTGGATGTGCAAAGATAATCTGTTGTTGTTTCCAATTGATAGTATATATTTCAACTTTTTATTTTGGTGACACTTCATTCATCCTAGATTAACTCAATCAAATTGATCAGGATGCAACAGTAAATTTGACCCACTTACTTTTCAAGGATGAATTTCACCAAAATAAAAAATTAAATGAATGTTAACTAAAAATTCTTATAAAATCTAATTAGCACTTCAGCGTTCAATCCTTTTTTCTCCATACAATACTGAATTTGGTATGTATTGCTAACATACATCTGTTTCACTACCAGAGCCTCTCTGATAAGACACAGATAATCTTTCTAAGTGCTCCTGCTGTGAATGAGGCACAAATCACAGAAGTGTTCGGGTAACCAATGTTAAACATGGAGTTTTTTTTCATGGTTTCTTGAAGTTATATTGTTAGAATAGTAATACATGCTTCTCATTACTGCACACAACCAGTAACGGCCTTGGTCGATCAAATGACTCCTGTCGGAAATATTCAGAAGCTTGTATACAGTTGGGCCAAGAACTGGGTGTGAAGGTTATTGATCTTTGGACAACACTTCAGCAAAGGGATGATTGGTTGACTGCTTGCTTTACGTAAGTTTTTTTTGTACAAGACCTATTTATGACTTTTTTGTGCTTTCTTATGCTAAACATGTAGTAAAAAGAAAAACTGTGGCGTTGGTGAATCCAGCTTAAAATATTTGTCAATCTATCAACTATGGACTTGCCCCTCTTCAAGTCTCCTACTTTAAAGAGTTAACTCGTTCAAGCCCAAATTCGTGACAGATCATTCCTTTTTGCTATAACCTATAGTAATAAACCAAAAATGCTACCATGTTTATCAGTAGTGACTGAAATTGCTTTTAGAGCTTCTGTAGAACCTGAAAATGCTAGGAGATAAGCAAAGCATTTATATATGGCTTAAGTTTTTCTCTCCTTTTGCTCATCTGATCTATAGACCACCTCAACATATCGTCGAGCATACCATATATTTCTTGATTTTTGCCAGTGGTTGTGATTATGGATCTAACTGGATGATACATTATCTCCTGGTTTCTTGTGATATTACATCTTCTTAGCACATATTCTATATCTTTTGTTTTCTCATTTGCATGGTTGGTTGTATTTGGGCTTTGAAGGGATGGGATACATTTATCATCTGAAGGCAGCAAGCTTGTTGTCAAGGAAATCTTAAAAGTTCTCAAAGAGGCAGAGTGGGAACCAAACCTGCATTGGAGATCATTGCCTATAGAATTCCCTGAAATCTCTCCATACATCTTTGTTGATCCCAAGGGTGAGACCGCTGTGAACGTTTCGCAGTTGGATCTTGAATGGCAGACTCAGTGGCACTAAATTCAGACTATGATTGTTCATAAGCCCATGGTAGTAAGATATCACATCAATTACACCTCTATGTTTGTTGTTTTGCTGTTTTGGTCCATTTCATTCCAAACAATGTTTCGATGCAACTCGTTACTATGATAATTCATCATAACTTGAATACTTATACATTGATCGTGAACCTACCACAATTGTCCTCCTTTATTTGAACGCGGGATTCACTATGCTCATGAATATCGAAATCTCAATTTGATTATCTGATTACCAAAAGGATAATATGGTATGGAAGAGGTTTTTCTTCTGATATTGCTAGACTATTTTCTAAATCCATCGCATATTCAATATCTTTAAAAGCAACAAAATACCACCACTGAGATGAAAGGTAAAATATTAACTATATACGTATTTTAATATTATAGCATAACATTCCCCTCTTTTAATGTCGAAGTCTGGTGGAATTTTCGCCCATTATCCCTTTTTGTATCAGCTGTTTAGTAAATGGTCCTCTTTTTAATTCTTTTGGACCTTTTAGACCACAGTAAATAGCATGGTCTAGCATTTTTCGGATTGGTCATTCAAAAATAGCCAGCGTTTACCAAGTCAATAAAAAATAGCCACTATTTTGCAGCAACAGAGACTGGTCCAGTCTAATATACTGGAGTTCGGTGCACCTGTGTATGAACTTCCAGCATATTATGCTGGAACTCCAACACACGGAAAGTTCCAGCATAATATACTGGAGATTCGAGCACTTGTGTATGAACTTCCAGCATATTATACTGGACCGATATACTTTGCTGGAACTCCAGTATATTATGCTGGAACTTCATCATTTTATGCTGGAGTTCCAGCATATTTATCCTGGAACTCCAGTATAATATGCTGGAGTTTAAGTATAATTATGCTGGAACTCCAGCATAATATACTGGCGTATATTCAGTGTTTTCGCTCAGATTTATCTTTACATGAAAAGTGGCTAAATTTTGATTACTTTTAAAACTGTGCTATTTTTGAACGATTACTTGTAAATCTGGCTTTTTTTGAATTTCTCCCTCTAAAGTTTCTTTTTGAGCAAACTGAATATCTTATGAAAACGTTATGTTACGGTCTAAAATTTGTAAGTTAACATTAGACCACAATCTAACATTTATGATTAAACTAAAAAATTATATGAGCAAATGTTAAGACTCCAGTTTCGAAGTCTAATTTTTTTAGGATTATATTTGCACAATTTTTTAAAATAGGGAAAATCTAAGCAATGGCCTATTAAAAGGGACATTTGCATAAATCAGCCTAAGTCCGGACAGTTATTTTACAAAAATCTGCACAAATATGACACTTTTTGGGATGATCTTTAACTTTTGAGCCATGCCTGCCCTATGGCATAACTTCAAAGTCAAAAGTAGTGCCCTGGGACAAGCGAAGACCAACACTTGCTAAATCGAGGACAAAAATTCAAAATCATCCGCTTTAACGGCTATTTGTGTACTTCACCCGTTATTTTGGCTCCAATTCGAAGGCGGCATCAAAGTATATGAGTTTTCGGGTGCAGAAAAAGCAGCTTGTGTATTAACGGCGTTACTCTTTAGTTTGTATTGTCCTTGTCTAAATGAAAAAAATTATTCTCTACACAATTTAGTAACGACAATTTGTGTTATAAAATTTACCGAGGCCTGGTTATATAGTATCAGAAAAGGAGCAAATTCTTCTTTTTATTCAACTTTCTGGAACGACTTTGGCGTCAGAATATTACTTCAATAGTAACCTTGATAATCATGCTGTTAAAATAGGAAGTCTAAATTGGGAAGCAGAATACATAGTATTGGACTATTGGTATTTGATTCTTATCTAATTTACGAAGATGCACTTCACTGTAAAAATGCAAAGAAGTTTTAAATTTGGTGCATATATAACGCCAGCAAGCTACATCAACCATCACAAATCTTCTGATCAATCTCCACCAAAGACGAAGCAGCCAACAAGAGGACGGTAGGATTCAGAATCAAAATAAAAAATGTTACAATAAATATACAAGCATTCAAGAATTTTCGTATATGACAGACTATATGATACAACAAGGACAAATCTCAAACCAGCTGCCCAAGATTCAGATGACTACATGCCCAAACGAATGAAAACATTACCAAACAAATGATAGATACAGAATGTGGGAAAAAAACTACAGTAAAATCAGCAAGGAAAGTAGCAGCAGCAGTACAGAGTCACCAATACCCAACTTCCACTGCAGAAATCAAATTGAATGACGGATGGTGTTTACCTCTTCTCCAACAATAATATAAAACAAAACCAGGCAACATACACCAGGGTTTAATGCCTCAACATTAGTGATAGACGGAGTAAGTCCAGATATGGTCAGATGCGCGCACTGCTATACTTTTAACTGGAAAGCTGGAACCTCCCGCTGGGCTTTTTCCTTCTCCACCCCTGTAAAGTTAGAGAACTGGTTAGATTTCTCCTCCACCTTAAGAACACATATTTGAGATGTCAGACAGTGAAGAACTTACAAATGCAGCATAGTAAACAAATGTCAGCCCAGCTAAAACGATGAATCCAATTTGAAAAACATTGTACCTGCAATGACACATTTTACCATTCATAAAACGATTCTTGCGGTAGGAAAAACCAGTTCTTCGAAAAAATCTAGGCATAACAGTAACTTACTTGTACAAATATTTTATTCCACGAAGTGACTGCAGATTGTGACCAAATATTTCTTGAGCTGCAGTGGCTTGAGCATAGTATGCAAACGCCGTAGCACAGAACTGAATGACACTGCAGGCACAGAAAGACAAGAGGATCATACGACCAAACTTTCACACTAAGTGGAAGCAGAAGAAATTCATTATTAATCCACAACTGCAGAGTGGCTAATGTGCTTTCAGAACCGTGATAACTAAGTAAACATACATTTAGCACCCTCAAATATATACCACCTACCGACTCAGCAAAGTATTTAACAGATGAAACCATCATCCAACAATGAAGTAAAGCTTTTTTTTTTTTTGATTTTTTTAAAACAAAAGCTATCTGATTTCGATTTAAAAATAAGGGGCATGCAGCCCTCTTAGCAAGTGCCTTATTAAAACATTCAGCAGGAAAGTCTCAGGATAGCCACTGGAGGAGTTTTTGCTTTCATATCTACAGTTGCCTACATATAGTGGTAACTAGTAAATGGTCCAGAACCACCAAACCCAAGGAGATCAAGACTACAACTGTAATTCCCCTCAAGGCCATCCAAGAAGCAGGTTGCTTCTTTTGTAGTGTCTAGCAATTACTTGGAGGTCCTGGGTTAGCATGCTCCTCCCTCCGTCACTTCAGTCAAACGGTAACTATACTATTGCCTATAAATTTAAAATGGTAGCTGGTACATTCAGGGGCGAAGCTGCGTAGCTAAGTTGACCACCCTTCATCGAAAAATTACACGGTATACATAGGTAAAATATTTGATTTTAGTAGTATTTAACATATATTGAACACCCTTTATCGGAGATTTTTTTACTTCTTTCAAGTTTGAACACCCTAGATGAAATTCCTGACTTCGCCACTGGGTACATTAAGACTTTTACTACTTGCATGGACATAACCTAAACTACATATCCACGGTCTAAGCATTTATAACATACTCATCATTAAGATCAGTTGTTAGATCAATGAAAATACTAACAAAATACATAAGAAACTTGGACTGTGTTAATCCTACCTGATAGAGCAGAGAAGAATAAGGCCCACATTGAAAAGAAAGGAATTCATAAGCGTAGCTCCCCATCTGTAAACAGTGGTCCAGCACAAAAGTGAGACAGGGAAGAGGGAGGAGCAACGCAGGTAGCAAACAGATCAATAAAGCAAAATTCAAACAGCAGAAGATGTTTACTTCATGGGATGAATTGTGATAAAAACTAATTTCAAGCCAAGCATCATTGCTCCAGCAATCACTGCAAGCAGAAGGTAGAAGCAAAAAAATGCAAAAGCTGCAGTGCCCAAAAGACCTGGAGAATTAACAGAAAAATAAGCATCATAATTCATGTATTAGCGACCACACATAACTAATAAGAAAAGGGAGATAAAGGTTGAATGTACCCCAAACATCGTCAAGTTTGATGAAAACCTCATTAAGGAAAGAAGAAAGTGGAGGATCAATCAGAAGATATATTACGATATGGGCAACCCAAGCTACAGAGACAATCAGCCTGTTTACATCGGACCAAAAATCACAGAACTATCAACTGCCATTAAATTAATTCAAAAGATTTAGCGGAAATTAGGATTTCCATAACACCGCCACATACCCTAAAACGCCTAGGATGAGTTTTGCCAAATAGCCTAGTACTGTCATTGCCCAAGCAGTCTCAGCCTGCAAAAATGAAGGCTATCAGATTTGTTTGCACTGAAAGAAACTTTGGCAGGAAGGGGGAAAAAAAGATTTTAGCTGATCAACTATAAAAGCATCATTTCTTTACCTTTTCACCTTGAGGGTACATCTCCTCTAGAGCCTTGACATCCTCTTCAAGAAGAAGCACCTCCTGAAAGGTAAAGTAAAGTTGAACAAACATCATGTTAACACATAAAGAAACTAGAATTTCCCAGAATGTATTTATCAGACAAGAAAAAATCAGATTCTTCATCAAACATCTATGATAAATGCGATAAAAATTGGTTGAGGTCTGAAATAAAATTATAAGTAACTTCAAAACAGAATTAAAAGAACAAGCTGATCATGCATATCAAGGAGGACCACCTGCATACACAGATCATGAATATCCATAAATCCTATAAAGTAGCAGAGCATGGTTTATTCTGTCACTTTGCTGGACAGGTGCAAACTCAACTTAACAAAAGTTCTATTTATTTGTTAATTTTTGAATTTCATAAAATGTAAAATGGCAACTTGGACAATGATTTTAACCCCCCCCCCCGTTGGTGTTTTTTTTTTTTTTTAGGGGGGGGGGGGGGGGGGGGGGGTTTCCCGTTCCGTACGTTTATATAACTGAATACTATTCGCAGATTAAACAGCTTTATCTTCAGTCGGAAATCCCTCAAAATTTCACAACTTTTTTAAAAGTAGTTTGTGGTTTATAATACTTTTATGTAGTCTCCAAACAAGAATATCTTTCATACATTAAGGGATTTAAGTTAGCAAATACACTAAAAAATAAAATGATTTACCAAATTCTTCATATGTTTCTGGATCTAGAGAGTACAATATCCTTACAGTAACTTCCCAAAATTTATCCTCCA